TTGGGTAGCACCTTGGGAAAACAAAGAGTCCAATGCATGCATTGGCTCTTAAGTTTTCAAGAAAGGTGGATGTTAATGTTATTCACCTATTTAAACCCCCTTGGAAAAGAAAGAAAAGGAAGGTATAAAAAGAAAATTCCAAAAAAATACTTACTTAAAAAATTTCTTCTTAAAGAAAAAAAAAAGAAGAAGATATCTCTATTGGGTTGTTTTGGGAATTCAATTAAATTTGCTCCTATATTTGCTTGTCATCAACTCTAGGTATTTCTTTTTTTTTACATTTCAATGTAATCTTTATGTTATTGTTATGTTTTGTTTTTTTTGAAAAATTGTTGATATTTTTTTGCTAAACTTATTATAATTCTCGTATGATTATGTTTATCCTTATGTTACTTTATTTGTATATTTCTATTAGTTTATTATTCTATAGTGTTTCTCATATCATTATGTTTATTAAGATGTACATATATATTATTAATTATTTTTAGCTTAAATTTTAGCTTTAGTAAGTAAAAAGAAAAAAATATAAAAAAATAAAATAAAACAAGTAATTAAAATATAACAATTGCAAATCTTTTAGGTTTTCGGTAACTTTCTTTTTTAAGGAATGAACTTAAGAAAAAATATATAAAAAAACGTAAAACTAGTTATTTTTGCAAAAGGGTTTAATCTGGTCATTTTTGCAACAAAAAATGCAAATTTGGTTATTTCTGCAAAATATGTAAATCTGGTTATTTCTGCAAAAAATGTAAATTTGGTTATTTCTGCAAAAAAATGTAAAAATGTAAATCTGGTTATTTCTGCAAAAAAGATAAAATCTGGTTATTTGTGTAAAAAATGTAAATCTGGTTATTTCTGCAAAAATGTAAATCTGGTGATTTTTGAAAAAAATAAAATCTAGTTTTTTCTACTAAAAAAAAAGAAATTATGTTTTTTTTTTTTTTTAAAAAAAAATCTCTAAAAAAAAACTAATTTTTGTATTGATTATTAAAGTAAAAATACAAATTTGACTAACTTGACTTAATAATTCAACAATTAAAAATTTGTTATTTTGCAATCTTCTATCAAATAAGTCAAGGTAGTCATTTATATATATAATTTTTTTTTAACCAAATTGGTTATTTCTTAAATTTTTATCTATATATATATATATATATATATATATATATATATATATATATATAAAATTAAACTAGTATATCATTTGTTTAAAAGAGTGTTCAATTGTAATTTTGTAATTTTTTTCTTTGTTCTCATTGTCTAGTAGTAAATTTTTTTCTCTTTTGCTAAAACCATACATAAATGCTAGAATTTTTTTTATAATAATAAATAAATACAAACTAATCATTTTTTGGTTTATATATTGCACCAATTTCTTTTATTCATTCATGACGTTATTTTTTTTTGAGTAATCAATTATTATTATTTTTTAAAAAAAATTAAAACTTTAAATACCATCATGTGTTCGGTTACGATCCTTGGTGTGTATTTCTTTCCTAAAAGAAAGGTCTTGTGTGTGGTTACGCTCTTAGGCCACTCATTTTTTTTAAAAAAAAATAGTAATAATTTTTTTCCCCTTTTATCCAAATTAAATAAATAAATTATTTTAGCCAAATATAAGTTAATAAAGCGACCGTGCTAGAACCACGGGACTCGGGGGGTGCCTCATACCTTCCCTCCGGTCAACAGAATTTCTTACCCAATCTCTGTTTTTCGTAGACTCAAAAAAAAGTTTTTTTTTTATTAAGAACTATCTAGTGACTTGAAACACCTAAAAAACTCAATTTCAAGTGGCGACTCTAAAAAAAAATTAAAAAAAAACCCGTCATATCCTCAACAATTTAAACTTAAATAAAAGAGGTGTGACAGATTTGGCGACTCTGCTGGGGACACCCCTTCTTTTAGAATTCGAGCTTTGTACATTAACTTTTTTTTTGACTATTTTGTTTATTTGGATAAATTTTATGTTTGGATGCTAATTGTGTTATTTCAGCAATTTATCGTTTGATATTGTATTGTATATAAATTGTTTCTCTCATACACCCTCTGAGTCTCTGTAATTTTTTTTACACTGTGTGCGCGGTTAGGCTCCACAGGACTTTTGTCTACGATGAGTCTGTGTGCGGTTACGCTCCTGATTCTAGGTTGTTACACAGGTTAGGCGGGGTTGGACCACCAGTTAAGCCGAAATAGCTCTGCTACATGTACGCTGACCCTCCCCGGCTCGAGTTGTACGCTCGAGTAGGCCAGTCTAGACACCTTCCTAAATGTTAAACCTAGATAAAATGTCTCTGGTATGCTGTTTTTTTTCCATGTACATTTGACCTAGCGAAATTAAGATATCTATTCATGCCAGACTAAAATGTTCATGTTATATGCTATGTAAAAATAGTTGGTTCAGAAGGCTTTGATATTGTTGACCATCTTCAAAATAGCTTTGCGAGTTTAGTTTTTTTTTAAAAAAAAAGGGTCAAATAAAAGGGGTAGTCTTTCCAAGAGAGTGTTTGTAAAAAATTGGTGTTTTATTTTATATTCTTAAAAAAAAAATTTGTTTTTACTTTTTTTTTCATTGTGTTAGAGTTTGTCATAAAAACCATATTTGATTCTATTAAAAGGTACAAATGGCACCATCGACAAAAGGACAAGGTTCAAAAAGGCCTAGAAGTAAAGGAATTCCAGAGTTCATGATCGTAGATACTATACCAAAAGATTTATGGCAATGGTGGACAGACATGGGAAGTCATGAGAAAAAAAGACTAAAGGCACATCTGGGGCATTTAGTACATCTCATGGAGATTGACCCTAGAAGGGATGTGGTCGAGGCATTGATCCATTTTTGGGATCCCAAAAATAATGTCTTTTGTTTTTCTGACTGTGAGATGACACTAACTTTGGAAGAAATTGCTGGCTTTATGTGGAAGGGGTCTACTTTTCGAGGTGCTGATCTACGCAATAAAAGACCCATAATTCCAAAACTTGTTGATGCCAAAAAATTTCTGGAACTGCTCAAAATTAATCAAATAGATAAAGAGAGTTTGAAAAATGGGTGGGTCTCTTTAGACTTTCTATATTAGAGATACGGTCGAAGGGATGGTTTCAAGAACTATCAGAACCGGTTGAGTAATCAAGGGGTTGAAGAAGCTTGGAAGGCAAATGGATGTTTTGCTTTTATGGTCGCATTTTTGGGGCTCGTTATTTTCCCCAAAAGGGACAAGCATATTGACCTTCGTTTGGCTGGTGTGGTGAAGGCTTTGACCACAATGGAAAATCCAACTATTATTCCTATAATTCTGGAAGATATATTTCGCGCATTAACTAAATGTTTAAGTGGGGAAATGTATTTTGAAGGCTGTAATATTTTGCTCCAAATATGGTTTTTGGAATACCTTTATCACCATGATCGTGCGCCTAGGTTTACTCCAGATTGGTGCAACTATGTTTCCTCTCATAAGGAAAGGGAAGCCAAAATTGATTTTCCAAAAGGAATAATAGCGTGTGAAGAAAAACTTTCAGTGATCACATCTGATGAAATAGTATGGAATTATTACTGGTTCCCGGCTAAGGATATCATTTGCATGTCTAGTGGTATGTCGTTTCTTGTGTTGATTGGTCTTAGAGGTGTTCAACAATATGCCCCACTTCGGGTTATGCGTCAACTAGCCAGAGTTCAAGAAATCCCACCCAATGATGATATGAGTAGGTTTGCATATGACACTCCACCAGGTTTTTCTTTTAACAGCGAAGAGATTATGAAGATTTGGTATGGGAGTATTATTTCTGAGCTAAGTGAAATGGTTGTGGAGAAAGATAAAGGAAAGGTGGTTCAAGGGTACCTATCATGGTTTCGTGATCCTATGACATTTGGTGACACTCCTGAAGGATCCAGCAGAAAAAGAAGAGATCAACATATAATAAGACAATTGAAAAAAAAGTTGGAGAAGGCCAAATCAACCATTGCACGACAAGAAGTATAGGTCCAAAGACGAAAAATCACAAGTTAGAGTTGCAAGATATGGAAGGAGAATTAAAGCATGCAGAGGGAAGACTAGCCCGATTGGAGGAGGAATTGGATAATAAAATCCACTTGGCACGACAGATAAAAAGGGAGCAGAATTTTGAGATTTCTCGATTGAAGAGGGGTTTAGAGGCATCCGAAGAGGGGCAAAGACAATTGATCATCGAAATAGCAACACTTCGCCATCAACTTGAAGTAGCAGAAGGGCGAGAGGCCTTCTTGAGGAATAATCTGGGTAATCATCAGGCTTTGTTAAATGATTGTCATCAAAACATGGGAAAGGCTAGACTTCAAATTCATCAACTAGCAGAGCAAACCTCCTATGTTATTAAAAATCAGCGCCGTATGAATGATCAAGAAGTGGCTGAGCAAGCACGGAACATTGTTCCCCATTTGCCGAAGGTATTTCTGAATTTGTATGAGACCTTGAGAGGAAAAAGAAAGCCCCAAGAAAGTGATGAAGATTGAAGAGAAGTTTTAGTTGTTTTTGTTGTTCGTTTCATTTTGTTTGTTGAAAGACTTGGTTCTTAGTTTAAAATTTGGTGTTTAAGGATATTATGTTGATTCGGGTTGTTTTTAAACCTTTTGATTTTGTTGTTTTTTTTGAACTTTTGATGAATGAATTCCAAATTAATCAGTTTGAGTTGACTAAATTTTTGAACTACGTAATGATCTGATTCATGCAATAACATGATACGTAGGCAACCTCCAAAGGGTCCGATCAGAATTTATTTTTCAAAACTTTTTCTTTTTCCAAAAAAAAAAGAAAAAAAAAGGACAATAAGCAAAGCAAAGATGGGATGAAACAGTGGCCTTCCGAACCCATTTTACGATGTGATTAATAAGTGTGTGATTGATTTATAAAATTGTCTAACCCCTAACAAGTTTGTTCATTTCACATCAACTCTAGTTAGCTTTCGGTGGTTAGGTTTGTGGTAAACTGGCCGACCACCCGTACTTTACCAGGTCTAAGGTAAGAGCGTCAATGACAACCAATACTGAAACTGTGGTGAATCCAGCAGACACTCCGATTGATTCAACAACAAGAGAGACAATCACTGTTGAAGAAAATCGGACGCTGAGAAATATTATGGCACAATTGTGGCAAGCCTGGGCCAATGGACAAGAACCACCAGCGTCTATTCCTGGTTTTCCTGAGATCACTAGTATTCGATCTTCATCTTCTCAAGTGCCAATACCAGAACCGTTCTTCCCTCTAGGGTATGGTCCATTTGATAATTGTGGGGCCGGGCTATCAACAACACGTCCTGAAGGCATGCCATTTAGGAATACTCCCACTGTCACAACAGCTGCACCAGTCTATACACTCCCACAACCGACTGTGACGCAAAGAGCAGCTCAAGACGGACAATTCACCACTCATCCAGAGCAGTACTATACTCCTGGGATAGCATTTGGGGGCCCTAACTCTGTTCAATTCAGTTCCCCTATTGATAATGAGAGGCCCACTCCAGGCTCAGAGCAAGAAGAAATGTTGAAAAAAATGAAAAGCATCGAGCAACACATGAAGAGCATGCAAGGGTTAGGAGGGCACAAAAGTGTCGCATTCAAAGACTTGTGTATGTTCCCAAATGTCCACCTGCCACCTTGTTTCAAAACCCCTAAGTTTGATAAGTATGACGGACACGGTGATCCCCTAGCCCACCTTAAGAGATACTGTAATCAACTTCGGGGTGCAGGGGGTAAAGAAGAATTGCTCATGGCTTATTTTTGTGAAAGCCTGACTGGTGTTACCTCAGAATGGTTGATAGATAAGGAGATTTCCCACTGGCACATATGGGATGATATGGCTCAAGATTTTGTTAGACAATTTCAGTACAATGTCGACATTATGCCAGATCATAATACACTCTCCAATACAAGAAAAAAACCAAGTAAAAGCTTCAGAGAATATGCTATCAAATGGAGGGAACAAGCAGCCCGAGTTAAGCCCCCATTAAATGAGCAAGAATTGGTTGATATCTTCATAGAGGCTCAAGATCCTGACTACTTCCACCACCTCACAGCCGCAATGGGAAGACCGTTTCACACAGCAATCAAAATTGGGGAAATGGTCGAAAGTGGTCTCAAAACAGGAAGGATCGTGAGCCAAGCAGCAATCAAAGCTACCACACAGGCCATTCAAGGTGGTTCAACAAGTTTTGGAAATCGTAAAACGAAAGAGGAAGTTATTTCACTGGCATCAAGGTCAAGATGAGCTCAGAGAAAGTCTAATTGTCCTTACACATCAGTTCAGGGACAACTTAGCTATCCTCAGCATTACTACCCTTATGCTCCTCAATATCCAGTATCTCCGTCTCCGTACCCTGTCTTAAATGCTCAGTCATATGTGCATCCTCCCAATCGCCCACATTTTAGGGCCCCATCTCAAGGAAACTTTCGCCCACAACAGCCACCCTATCAAGTCCCTTACAACTCTCCTCTTATGCGAAATTATGCTCAAGATCAAGAACAGAAAAAGAAATTCACTCAATTGGGGGAGTCGTACTCCAGCTTGTTTCAGAAGTTAAGAAAGATAGGAGCGATTGAGTGCATCCCACGACATCGTCTGAATCCAAATGCTCCAGGTTTCCAAGCAAATGAAAGATGTGAATACCATTCAGAAACCCCAGGACACAGCACTGATAATTGTTAGACCTTGAAGGGAGCAATAGAGAAGCTGATCGAGCATGGAGTTGTTGTTGTGACAGATGATCAGAACACTCCCAATGTGACCAATAATCCACTTCCAGCTGAAAACAACTTAGTGGGTATGGTTTGTGATGATCAAGCGTACAGACTCCTCAGCAAAATGGGAAAGTTGTTTAAGAAGATTGGAGAAGAAGACAAGTCAATGAAGAGTTTAACACCAGTTGCCTCTCTGAGTGCGGAAGGTGTCAATCATGACACCAATGTCTTGTGCGTCCCAGGGGTTTCAAAGGGGATTGAAGTTCGAGCTGCTATGCCAAAGTTGTATGTATCAAAAGGCTTTTCATCAACACAACATGACCAAAGTGGCTTGACCAAGATGAAAGAGCCTATTTTTGTTAAGCCTGTTCAACAGCTTCCAGTAATTGATTCAAATCCTGTCCCTTGGAACTATAACAAAACTGCAGTGGTTTATCAAGGAAAGGAGATTGTCGAAGAAGTTGATGAAGCGGGAGGTTTGACACACTCTGGAAGATGTTATTCTCTAGAAGAATTAAGAAAAGGCAAGATGGCTGAAAATACCCAAGTACCACTAAAGAAAGCCGTTACTGGAGAAGAAAATGTAGAATTTCTAAAAAAGCTTAAAGTTCCAGATTACTCTATCGTGCAACAATTGATGAAGACGCCTGCACAGATTTCACTGTGGTCTCTACTTTTGCACGCAGAAGAACATCGTCTTGTGTTGAATAAGGTTTTGAATGAAGCACATGTGCCAAAAGAGACCACAGTAAATCAGTTGGAGAATATGACCAGCCGCGTCTTCGAGTCAAACGCCATCACTTTCACTAATGATGAGTTGCCGAAGGAGGGAGCTGGAAACAACAAAGCTTTGCATCTTACAGTGACATGTGAAGGTTACTATGTAAAGAGGGTCATGATAGATGGAGGTTCAGTGGTAGACATATGTCCTCTTTCTACGCTCCAAAGCTTGAAAGTTAACACTGACAGAATTCGTCCCAGCAATGTATTTGTGCGAGCTTATGACGGCTCAAGGAGGGATACCATTGGTGAAATCAAGTTAAACATGACAATTGGGCTAGTAGTCTTTACGATTGTGTTCCAAGTAATGGATATGGAAACATCTTATAATTTTCTACTAGGAAGGCCATGGATCCACATGGCTCGAGCTGTCCCATCAACTCTACATCAAGTTGTCAAGTTTGAATACAACAATCAGGAAATCACTGTTCATGGAGAAGACAATTCACCTATTTACAGAGATCCATCCGTCCCATACATTGAGGCAAAGGAAGGATGTGATTCTGTTGTTTACCAGTCTTTTGAGGTTGTATCGGTCGATCGCTGTAAAGAAGGAGAATCTATCATCCAATCATGTATATCTTCTTCCGCTTCAATGGTAACAACGACGATGCTCAAATATGGTTATCAACCCGGTAAAGGTTTGGGAGTATATTCGTAAGGAATCGTGGATCCCATTACTCTTTTAGGAAACCAAGGCACCTCTGGCCTCAGATACAAACAAAGCAAGAGAAATAGAGATAAATCTAAGAACCACAAAAGGATTGATTGGTCGTTGCCACAACCGATTCCCCATATTTCTCATTCTTTTATCAAATCGCAGGGTTCAGAATTGAAAGATTCATTCACTCCTGAAGATATTGAAGAAATCATTGAGGATCTCAGTCAGTTGTTTTGTGAAATAAATATGGTCCAAGTTGGTGAAGGCACAAGTCATGCTAATATGCAGCTCGTGGGCTCAGGTGTTGAGTTAAACAATTGGAAAGCCACTCCTTTCCCCATAAGGAAGGAGTCGTGGTAGTTTGTTTTGCTACTCTTTTGTATTTTGTTGTTCTCGGGGTTGTGGTCCGAATAGTTCAAAGTATTTTGTTATTGTCAACCCTTCTGTCCCTTATGATGTCAATGAAATGAAATTTCAGCTTCATAGTAAATTTTGTTTTTTTTCTCTCTTAATTTTTAATTTCTATTTTTCAGTTCTGTAAATGACGGCTTTGATAACATGTCATGCATGCGGAATGCACTCCCTGATTTCAAAGAGATGTTCATTCTTGAATCACCAAGTCAAGAGGTGGAATATGATGAAGAAGAGGCTTTTAGGGAAATTAATAGGGAACTGGAACAGTTTGAGCACAAACCGAAGCCTAATCTTAGTGAAACTGAGACAATCAATTTGGGAAGTTCCGAGGATGTTAAGGAAATAAAAATAAGTTTACATATCAATCAGGAAATTAGAGAGGCAATAACACCACTTTTTTTTGAGTACAAAGATGTATTTGCTTGGTCTTATGATGACATGCCAGGTTTGAGTGTTGATTTAGTGGTTCATAAGTTGCCCGTTTATCCTGATTGTCTACCCGTCCAACAGAAAAGAAGGAAATTCAAATCGGACTTGAGTAAAAAAATTAAGGAAGAAATAATGAAACAATTGAATGCAAAGGTGATCCAAGTTATTCGTTACACTACTTGGTTGGCAAATGTTGTTCCTATGCCGAAAAAGGATGGAAAGACAAGAGTTTGTGTTGACTATCGGGATTTGAACAAGGCTAGTCCAAAAGACAACTTTCCATTGCCAAATATCCACATCTTAGTTGATAATTGTGCAAAACACAAAATGCAATCTTTTGTGGACTGTTATGCGAGGAATCATCAAATCTTGATGGATGAAGAGGATGCTGAGAAAACTGCTTTCACCACTCCATGGGGAACTTATTGCTACAGGGTCATGCCATTTGGTCTTAAAAATGCTGGGGCGACTTACATGAGGGCTATGAACACCATGTTCCATGATATGATGCATAAAGAAATTAAAGTATATGTCGACGACGTAATCATCAAGTCTAAAACACGTTGATCATGTGTAAGATCTGAGAAAATTCTTGGAAAGAATGCGAAGATATGACCTCAAGCTTAATCCAGCAAAATGTGCATTCGGAGTTCCATTTGGAAAACTTCTGGGTTTTATTGTCAGTAGAAGGGGAATCGAATTGGATCCCTTTAAAATAAAATCCATTCGAGATATTCCATCCCCAAAAAATAAAACCGAAGTTATGAGTCTATCTGGGAGGTTGAACTACATCAGCAGGTTTATTGCTCAACTCACAACCACATGTGAGCCCATTTTCAAACTTTTGAAGAAGGATGCTGCTGTCAAGTGGACAGAAGATTGTCAACGAGCTTTTGAAAAAATCAAGGAGTATTTGTCCAACCCTCCTGTGTTGGTACCGCCTTAACCTGACAGGCCTCTCTTTCTATATCTTTTAGTAACAAATAATTCCTTTGGGTGTATTCTCGGTCAACATGATGCTACAGGAAGGAAGGAGCAGGCTATCTACTACTTGAGCAAGAAATTCACTAGTTATGAGGTCAAGTACACCCTTTTGGAAAGGACGTGTTGCGCCCTAACTTGGGTAGCTCAAAAGTTAAGGCATTACTTATTGTCCTACACAACTTACCTCATATCAAGGATGGATCCTTTAAAGTACATCTTTCATAAGCCAATGCCAACTGGCAGACTCGCGAAATGGCAAATTTTGCTCACTGAATTTGACATTATATATGTCACTCGCACTGCAATGAAAGCCCAAGCTTTGGCAGACCACTTGGCAGAGAACCCAGTCGATGGGGATTATGAACCATTGAATACATATTTTCCAGATGAAGAGACTAACTCAATTGAGGAAGTAGGTTCAAATGGAAATCAAGCTTGGCAATTGTACTTTGATGGAGCAACCAATACTTAAGGCACAGGGATTGGGGCAATTTTAATATCGCCCACAGGGAAACATTACCCTGGAACAGCTCGACTTCGCTTCTTTTGTAAAAATAACACCACTGAGTATGAAGCTTGCATCATGGGTCTAAATATGGCAATAGATTTGGGTGTGCAAGAATTAATTGTGTTAGGAGATTCTTATTTGCTTATCCGACAAGCTCAAGGCGAATGGAAAACTCGAGACATCAAGCTCCTTCCATATAGACAATATGTGGAAGATCTCAGCAAAAGGTTCAGGTACATCGAGTTTAGATACATTCCCAGGTTTCATAATGATTTGGCCGATGCCCTGGCTACTTTGGCCTCAATGCTTCCCTATCCTGGAAACACTTACATCACCCCATTGGAGATTCAAGTTCGGGACCAACATGGCTATTGTAATACAGTGGAAGTAGAACCTGATGGTGAGCCATGGTACTCAGACATCAAGAATTTTTTGAAGACAGGGAGATGCCCCGAACATGCCAACAAAAGCCAAAAAAGAACTATTAGACGTCTGGCTAATGGTTTCTTTTTGAGCGGGGATGTTTTGTATAAACGAACTCCGGATTTGAATTTATTGAGATGTTTGGATGCTGAAGAAGCCAAGAAAATTATGAATGAAGTGCACGCTAGGGTATGTGGACCACACATGAACGGATATGTCTTTTCAAAAAAGATACTCCGGGCGGGGTATTATTGGCTTACCATGGAAAGAGATTGCTTTCACTTTGTGAAAAAATGTAATCAATGTCAAATCCATGGAGATCTTATTCATTCACCTCATTCAGGGTTGCACCCCATGGCTGCTCCTTGGCCCTTTGTTGCATGGGGAATGGATGTAATCGGACCAATTGAGCCCAAAGCCTCTAATGGACATTGATTCATTTTGGTTGCAATTGATTACTTCACCAAATGGGTGAAGGCGATAACTTTCAAAGCAGTCACTAAGAAGGCGGTTGTGGATTTTGTTCATTCAAACATTATTTGTCGATTTGGTATCTCAAGAGCTATCATAACAGATAATGCCGCAAACCTCAATAGTAATCTGATGAAGGAGGTATGCGAGCAGTTCAAAATTGTGCACCACAATTCCACTCCATACTGACCGAAAGTCCAATGGAGCTGTGGAGGCAGCCAACAAGAATATTAAAAAGATTCTCAGAAGGATGGTTCAAGGCACTAGACAATGGCATGAGAAACTGCCTTTTGCACTTTTAGGATATCGTACAACAGTGCGTACCTCGATTGGTGCAACTCCTTATTTGCTGGTGTATGGAACTGAGGCTGTGATTCCAGCAGAAGTTGAAATTCCATCTCTTCAAATTATTGTTGAGGCTGAAATTGAAGATACCGAATGGGTCAAAACCCGACTAGAGCAACTCACATTAATAGACGAGAAACGATCGACGGCTGTCTATTTTTGTCAGCTTTATCAGCAAAGGATGGCTCGTGCATACAACAAAAAGGTGCACCCAAGACACTTTGAAGTAGGTCAACTGGTCTTAAAGCACGTTCTCCCGCACCAAGAAGAAGCCAAGGGAAAGTTTTCCCAAAATTGGCAAGGTCCATATCTTGTCAAGGAAGTATTGTCCAAAGGAGCCCTACACCTTACTGATGTGGAAGGAAAAACCACGGGCATAATTGTTAATGCAGATTCAGTCAAAAGATACTACATCTAATGCATTCTAAGGTTCTGCGGCATGTTTGGGGTATAAAGAACAGATGCACCCCCGTATAAAAAACCTCTCCCATTGAAAAAAATCTGAACTACGTTTGACCTGATTCTGAAAGGATACGTAGGCAACCCTTTAGGGGTTCGGTCATATAAAAAAAATCAGTTTTCCAGTATTTACAGAAACTGGGGCATTTTTAGTTTTTTTTATATATATAGAATAAGGTCAGATCATAATTCTGTTTATTCTGGCAACCGAATTTTTGGTCAAATCTAAAAATGATATTAATCATCAAAGGAAAAAAAAGAGTTTCTTATCGGTGAAAACCTTCATAGGCATCATAAGACGAAATAAAATCTTGTAGGTGAAAATCCTACGGGCACCTTAAGATAAAGGGAGGGAACATCATGAATGAAATCTGCAAGGACGATCAATTCTCGACACCTCTGCATAAAGGGCACATAGATCAATTGAAGATGACTCAGCTTTTGAGAACTAAAAAAAAATGGATCAGGGGGCAAGTCCAAGTGCATGTCATGGTTCAATCAAAGTCGACATATGCCTCAAGATAAGTTCTCTTTCTCATATTTAAAGGAATATCCTCCATTAAATTTATAGTTTTCTTGATCCAATCTTTCCTACTCTTAAGTTTGATATTTATTTTTATTTTTATTATTTTTTTTTCTCTTTTCTCCTTTTGATATAATCTCTTGACAAAATAAAGTAAAGATTGAAAATCTTACTACGGGTTCCCAAAAATCAAGCTGAGTATTTGAATTGACAAGCCATGGACCAAGGACTAAAATACCTCAGATCTTCACTCAAAATTCATGAAGGTCATCATTCTTTGGGACATCACTCGCACCATGATATTTGGTATTACCAAAAGATCAAGGCCCCTGTTTAACAAAGAGGGAGCTTCAAAGGTTGCTTAAGCATGGAGTTGTAGTAGAGTTGGAGAAATTGATCGAAGAAAACATGTCGGGTTACAAGTCAAAAGGAAACATCGCAAAAAGGAAGATCTCCAAGGTCTTCAAATGTTTGGTGTTTCATCTCATTCTACTAGCATTTTGCCTATCAATGCGAGAATTTCGTGCCATACGCACGAATTTGAATTCCGTGCAACAAGCACACGTCCTTTATTCCTGGGAAATACGCACCATCCTTTGTTCATGTGCAATACGCACCTGTCTAAATTTCGTGCAATACGCACCAATCTCAATTCCGTGCAACAAGGACACGTCCTTTATTCATGGGCAATACGCACCATCCTTTGTTCATGTGCAATACGTACCTGTCTAAATTTCATGCAATACACACCAATCTCAATTCCGTCCAACAAGCACACGTCCTTTATTCATGGGCAATATGCACCATCCTTTGTTCATGTACAATACGCACCTGTCTAAATTTCGTGCAATACGCACCAATCTCAATTTCGTGCAACAAGCACACATTCTTTATTCATGGGCAATACACACCATCTTTTGTTCGTATGCAATACGCACCTGTCTAAATTTCGTGCAATACACACCAATCTCAATTTCGTGCAACAAGCACACATTCTTTATTCATGGGCAATACGCACCATCTTTTGTTCATGTGCAATACGCACCTGTCTGAATTTCGTGCAATACGCACCAATCTGAATTTCGTGCAACAAGCACACATCCTTTATTCATGGTCAATACGCACCATATTCATGTCTGGAGCAATACGCACCACCATTCATAGGTTATACACACCCTATTCACATTTTAGGGATACATCCAATCTTAGGACAATGCGTCTTATTTGGAACTCTCAGGGCAGCACGCTTCATTTAACATATTCATTCTAGGGTCATTCTTCCTAGTTCAAGAATCTCATATGTTTTCCTCTTTCCTTAAGGAAACATATTCTTCATGGGTTCTTCATTTTGTGATCTTGAGTTTTTGAGTTTGAACAACCCACTCAAGTTAAAACATGCACTTAAGAATGATCCACCAGCCACCAAGATAGCATGCAGATTGATCTCAAAGATAATGCACAGAGCAAGTGAATGATCTAGACAAGATCCTAATAAGATACATCAATTAGGGATCTTGTAACATTTATAATGTAGAGATACATAGTTCTCTAACTTTTTCTTTGTAACTATAGGCAGTAGATGATGACAAGCAATATGAAGCAATCTTTTAGCCGTCTTTTATGATAGTTTTGACTATCAAAGTTTCTCGAACTACACTGATCTGATTTCCTTTTAATCAAGGATATGTAGGCAACCTCTAAAGCAAGGATGGCTTCATCGGAGTTTGAAACAGTCAAAAATTAGCCACTTCGTTCACTTTCTTTTCTTGAAAACTCTCCATGTTTCCAAGCGAAGAAGGGCATGCTGTAAACACCTAATTTTTGACATGTTTATTTTACTCCGATAGTATTTTAGTAAGATTTTTTTTTAATTTGAATTTTTGGTATTTGTATTTATTAGTTTATTGGCTCAAATGACCCAATTTGTTAAAATTGGGCTGATTTATATCAATTCTGATGGCCCAATTAATCTTGACCCGGTCCATAGAAATGGTCAAGATTGAATCTCATCCATTCATGATATTTTGATCCAAGGGCTGTTATTGGACCCAAACAAAAATACAAAACTCTAAAAAATTAGAATTTTCCTTTATTTTTATTTTAGATTTGTTGTCCCTTTCTTCTTTCCCTTACTACCATGCCGCCGGCCGGCCACCGCTACCGCCACCCACCGCCAGCCGGCCACCCCTTTTTCGCTGGAATTTTTTTTTTGAATTTTACCATCTTTTCCTTTCATCCTCCTCTACCTAAATCTACAAACCTTTCATCCATATCTATAGCCAAACTCCGTAGATCTAAGGAAAACCAAATATAAATTTTTACTTTTTCCTTAGATTTATAAAGTTCCCGTCATCCCCATCCCAAACCATTTACATAAACGTGTAGAGATCTTCAAGGGCTATCATTTGATATAAATTTTAAGTTCAAAATCCATCAAAAAAAATTTCGGCAAAGTTTCTCGGCGACCTTCATTTACCCGGAAGTTATGTCAATCTTTGCCCCCTCTTAATCTATACCCATATTTATCATTATCTTTTTTGGTTTGACTATATAAGTCGTTTGATGTTGGATTATGTTATTAATGTTCTTTAAGTTCATCATGTTGATGAGTTGCTTGAAGTATTATTATTTTATTTTTATTTCGATTTTTATGTTTATTATTTATTTATTTTGACTTTTTTTTCTGCATTATTTTGTTCTGTTTGATCTTTAAAATTGTTTAGATGTTTAGATTTTGTGTTAT